ATTGGTTCGCTTAATGAGAAAGTTGGCACTTTACTACTTGTTAAAGGTATCGAATGGACAAGAGAGAGACAGAGATAGATAGATAGTTAGATAGATAGATAGATAGAGAGAGAGAGAGAGAGAGTAAAGAGGAGGTCGGTAGGGAAACTCGAGGTTAGGAGACCAGACGAGCGATGTGTTCGTTAGGCATGAATAATGCAGACTCTGCGCTATGAAGGAGTTAGATAGGTAGATAGATAGATAGATGGATAGATAGATAGATTATATATATATATATATATATACACTTATATACATTTATATATACATATATATGTATATAGGGGTGAAGATGAAGAAGCTACGCTCCCATTGGCTTGGACCGTTCGGCTGTTCGATAGGACTTTGATCTTTTGTAGTCGTTGAATTTATGTTGGCAGGTTAGTAGACGATATCACAAAGGTGCTCAAAGCTATCTTCTTTTCCCGTTCTTTTATCTATGTCTCTTTTTATTTTTTTCTTGTTTTTTTTTTCTCTTTTTTTTTTTTTTTGTTCTTCTACGGTGCAACAAGGCGACCCGGCAAACTCATTTTGTCCTTAAAAGAGGGGCGAAAAGAAAATTACCGGACGGTACTTGTTATGCATAAGAATATCCTGGATACATCCTTACGTCGTAGCTTGATTTAATCTTCCTAGATCGATTTATTTTTGTCCCTTTTTTTTCTGTTTTTTTTTTTTCTTTCATTGTTTTTCCTTTTTTCTTCTTATCATCATCGACACTTCTCACGTAAGAATTGTCGAATTGTCTTTTTGCTCGAGTAGATGAGGTGGAGTACACTTTGATGTTTCGTTGGTTTTTTTTTTATTATTTTTCTTTTTTCTTGTTTATATTTTAACGAATATAAATTAGTTCTTTCTTTCTTAATGTCTTCTTTCTTTATATTTCTATTTAAATATAATAATAATTATTTACAAATTAGATTATTCATTTTAATTGACAACTTGCATTGAAAAGATACGTCAAGATGTTGTTTATGTTACAAAGTTGTAAACGACGTATTGTATATACATTTGTAGCATAAATAAAAATAACATTTTCGGTATGTAACCTAACAATGAAATTGTTTATTGAAATATAGTTCCATATTGCAGTGCAGCATCTATTCTACAATTTTTGCTATTTGCAATATATTTTCTCATACGTGCCAGTCAAATCAAATAATAAATTTATTTGTTTTGTTTTCTTTGTATTTTAAATAATTGTAACCCCGTATTGTAAAATGGAAAGCAACAGTGACTCGAGGAATATATTCTACCTACGAAAGTTAAACACAAAAATTCATGAAGAAGGTGTAAAGTATGCACAAAACAGAAAAAAATGCAATTAAACCACACGAGAATGCAATAAATACATATTACAGATTGTTTCGGACAATATCATATACTCAAATGAAATTATTAATAAACAAAATTAGTATTTATATCTGTAAAATATTTTGTGTTTAAGATTCTCGTGGTTAAATTGGTTCGTCTGATTTAAGAATTCGAATGAATTCATCAAATATGAAAATAGAAAATATATTATATAAATATGTATCGCAAAAAAACATTTTTACTTCCTTAGACAAATGGAAATTTTCAAAAAATAAATACACGTTTCTTTTCGATATCACAAAACGAGTCTTTTGAGTTCCATTATTCTATCGTTTTCATTTTCAAAAAGGGGAAATAAAAGGAGAGGACAAGGAAGAAAAAGCAAGAAGAGGATCGACTCTCATTCAGTTGTAAAATGCAAATCGTGAATCTCCGGAAATACATCACGCACGTATGGAGTTCCGTTCCGGATATATATATATATACCTCTATGTATAATACACACGTATATACATGTATATATACACATAAAGTACATACGTGCCATGGGTACACGAATGTTGCCATTTCGTCCTTGCGACTTGTTTCTCTATATGGGAATCATACGAGAAAAAATAGATAGATAGAGAGAGATATATAGTGATCTAGTTTACATATTCCCACACATACGTACTATTTCAAAGTGTTTATATTTTGATTAAAAAAAAAAAAAAAAAAAAGAAAACTTGTTCATGGTGTCAATACAGTACAAAAGAAACGGGTTTGCGTCATTGATATGCATTCTAATGCAAAAGCATATTGATGGAAATTTGAAAAAAAATGAAAAAAAAATCTCTAACGAGCCTTGTTAGAAGTTCAATTAAAATGTTGAATGAAAATGTGTACAGATAAAGTAGATACTTTGTAAAATATTTATGATATAATGATGATAATTTCTGTTCTTTCTTTTTTTTTTTTTTTTTTTTTGACATTACATTTTTGCGTACTTTATGAAATATAACTTTGTTATTCAGTTACACCATGAGATGTTTTGAGATGAATGCAACGTTTTCCCTTTTCCAAAAGATAAAATGAAACATCGTAACACATTTCAACGTTGACTGAGGAGATTATCCAAACGTGTTGGCAAATTACTGTATTATACTTGTAATAATATTAATAAAAATAGTTGAAATAAAATATAGAAAAATAATTATAATAAATTAATCCTTTTCGGACGTGTGTCCACTTTCAGCCACCACACAAGAATTTATATATATATATATACATAAAAATTAATTTCGACCACTAAGATACTCATGTCCAAATTGAATACATCCGAAAAGGGTTAACACAAAGATAAACTGAATTTATCTAATTTATAAAATAGTATCTATTTATAATAATATTAGATAAGGAATAGTAAATCTATTTATAATAGTATTACTTACGGAAGTTGAACTTCAAACTTGTTAACTATTTTCAAACGCACATACATAAACATTGGTATTTTTTTGTATTGTAAAATTATGTATGAGAATCGTGAATGTATTTCAATGTATCAGGAAAGTGTGAGAAAGAGAAATAGAAACAGAGAGAAAGAGAGAGAGAGAGAGAGAGAGAGAGAGAGAAATAGTGTTATCAGTATGTATGTATATGTATGAGACAGTGAGAGAGAAGGTGGATTACGTCGAAACTCGGTGGTTGCATCGCTGCGTCAGCTGGACCGTTACTGGTGATAGCTACGCTGTAGACATCACTATAATGGAATGCGTCAGGTTGCCTTTATGTCTCTTCCTATACCCACAGCATCCTGCCTTTGCGTATCCTGCCGCTGGTTGCTGGTAGTTTCTTATATGTACCACTTTCCTATAAGCGCTCATCTTCTATGCTATTCCAACTATGCGAACTTGCCGGATTAAATCTATCTCTGGTTCCCTTTCTCTCTTTTTCTTTACCTCTATTTTCTTCTTCTATTTTCCATTACTTCTTTCTTTCTCTCTCTTTCACTCATTCTCCTTCTATCTTTCTTTCTCGTATTTTATCTTCGTACATGATTCAGTTATGTTGAAAACTTTAAGCCTTGCAAACTTTAACGTGACTTATTTTAAAGTACTTGTGTGTAATTACAAATAATCTTGTGAGACCAATTTTTTTTTTTCTTATAATTTAGGTAAAATTATATATTTATTTAATTTTTAATTTATATTTTATTTAATAATCCTAAACTAGATTTGGAATTTTGAATGTTTGTATTAGAAGTAAATATCAATTGTTTCAAATTTACAATGTGCGCGAATAGGTAGGAATATTTATGTGATTCACTGTAAATCATATTTTATAACAAATCCTATATATATATATTTAAAATAGCACTTACGTTAAAATTTAAACAAAAAAATAATCATTTTTTAAATTAAATAAACGAACAACGCACACGTCTTCTTTTCCTTTCCAGAGAAGCTTTTTTTATTTGTCAATTTGAACAAAGTTTTTCGAGAGTTTGTAACAACATCTCATGGAATTGTCATGGTACTGTAAGTTCGTTGTTCGTGAGCGAAATAAAGGAAAATAATAGTTAAAAAGATCAAAATAAGGATAGAAACGTGAAAGAAAGATTGAAAGAAAAAAAGTAGTATACGATTAAAAAGTGGGTAAAAATTAAAGGAGAGACAAAAATACACCGACGATTCTTTGTATGGGCAAAATTCATTTTACGGATGAAATTCAAGCGGTTTCGTTTGTACGTGAGTTTTTCTTACTCTATACGTAAACCTAATACACATATATATACACACACACACATACACATACACGTATACGCACGAACGAACATAAACACAAAAAAAGAGAAAGAAATAGATGGAAAAGAGTGAGAGAGAGAGAGAGAGAGAGAGTTATATATACACGTATATATACATGTTTGTGTGTATATACATCAGAAAGGTCGGTGATAGGGGCGGCTGCGGAAGCAGCTTTTTCCGCATCGTTGAATATCCCTCTTTTTCTTTCTTGCATCTCTGCAGCTGCGGAGTCCGCATTCGTGGTGGCACTTTCGTTCGTACTTTTTCATTCAACGAAAGCTCTACGCTGCTGTGAGAGAGCTTTTGCATCAGTCGGTGATGATTTTTTGAATGGTCCATGCATGATTTTCTTCTCGTCATCACCTTTTTTTCTTTTTTTTTTTAACTTTTTTGCTTTTACTATTCATTACTTTTTTTTTTTCGGGACAAAAATTAAAATTACTATTTGAATTCTAACTAATTCCTTTTTATTTCTATCTTTCTTACAAATAATACATTGTACTATTAAATAATTGTGAATATTGAAATTATCAGATTCGTTGTTAAAATATATATTTAAAAATGTTGTTAATTGAAAAAAAAAAAAAGCTTAATTTTATATATAATATATCAAATCATTTCATATATACGAACCTAATGCTTATAACTTTTATAGTATTTTTTGTCTAAGAAAAGTAAAGAGATAGAAAAAAAAAACAAAAAAGATATAAATAAGGAATCCTTGAAATAGGAAGAAAGTAAAGAACGCAATCATGGATTTCTTATGGATATAGTGATTGAAGTTATCGGACAAAAATGTCGTGCAATCTGTCGAGAGAGTTAAAGAGAGAAAGAAAGCAATATATAACCAATACAGTTACGCACCAGCAGTAGAAGCAGAAGCAGAAGTAGCAGCACCGGTACCAGAAGCAGCGGCAATAGAAGTATCAGAAGTAGAGAGCTGCAGTAGCAGTAGCAGCTGGGTGAGTGGAAAGAAATTGGCTTCTATGATTCCTACAAAAAAGATCTCGCACATGGCGCGCGAGATCCACCCTCTTGAAAAATCGTATTTCGATCATGATCGTGGAGAGCAGCTGTCTCGCTATGAATGCCTCACACTCCAACTAGGATACAAGAAATTGCCGTTGCGATTATATGCGAAATTGCACGGCTGGCTGGCTGACTAGGTTCGAGATCGTTCAATGAAACATTTCTTCTCAACTATTTTTCAAATATAATCTACTATGCAATATATATATATATATGTATTATAAAAATAATGATAGCTGGTTATGAATAACAAAAAAAAAAAAAAAGACAACAATATTAACGTTTACCATAATTCGTTTCATGAACAATAATACGATAACGAGGTAATTTATCATAATAACGGAACAAATAGATGGATAGTTATAGCGTGTTATAGAGGAATATACAAAGATAGATTTAATCAATATTATTATTATTATTATATAAATTTATTTATGTATGTGTTCGTATTCACGAGTTCATTAATTCGAGCGCATACCGATTGAATAACGTAAGAATAATTGAACTATACGAATTATCAAGAGAATTATTCAAACTTAATCCAATGAATATTGAATACATATTTTTGGTATTAGTAATTAAGATTTCATTGAATTTATTTATATATAGGTTCTATTTATTTTAAATATTGTATATATATGATATAAGAATATCATCTCTATTATAATTATATTTATTGTAATAATTTAATTATTTATAACATAAACACACATGCATAATGTATTATTTTTTTATTTTGCAATTTTAATAATTTAGTATTAGGAATGTTTCTCGAATAGATGACGAAATATTGCTCTTTGATGAGAGAAGCTCGAAAAATCAAAAAACTGTGAGTAATAAATTCAATGTAGTTTCTCTTCAGAGAGAAACACACCCACACAAAGAAAGAAAGAAAGTAAGAGAACAAATAGAAAGAAGTATTATTAAGATGCTTTTCCTTGGAAGATATCGGCAGTAAACTTTCGACGAGGAAGAAAATCGTTTCTCGAAAGTATTTTTGTACGAAAAGAGGTGGGTTTCTTACTGCTTTTTCACGATGACCATCGTACACTAAAAGAAGAAACTCAGAAGAAAAACCCTCCCCCTTTGATAGACTCTCTTTTCGATAGTATCCAAGATCGGTGGGAGTGTCTTGAAGATTTCTATAAAGCACGATGAGTGCTTTGATAACCGCACTGATAAATTTTCTTTTTTTGAAGTGAAAACTTCTTTAGAATGGGAGTGTTCTGAAAAGTAAATAAATGGAAACGGAGCTGTGTAACGAAGCTATGAAACGGCTGCCATACTAAATAATGAGAGAAAAAGAGACAAACATAGGATTTAGACTGCGAGGGAATGAGACGGAAATATAGCTATACAGATTTTCCTATTCTCGGTCTCCTCTTTATGCTATGCTTCGTAGTTATCGCTCTTGGTTGTATATGTGTGTGTTTGAGTGCGACTGCATACCCTACGAACTTATCGGAAAGATCATACGGACTTATCGGAAAGGCCCTACGGACTTATCGGAAAGACCCTACGGACTTATCGGAAAGACCCTACGGACTTATCGGAAAGGCCCTACGGACTTATCGGAAAGACCCTACGGACTTATCGGAAAAAACCTTACTATAGAGGTGTTTACTACACTAACAGAGGTGTTTAGTTACCATGCATTTTTTAGTTACCAGAAGCAACTCGTCTCATTTCTTTGMATTGAGAACTTGCTTGCTGTGTAATATGTTATCTATTTATATATGTTTTCAATAAAACGTATAATAATTTTTAAATGTGATAACAATAATATAATAATAATATTATAACAAATAAACCCAACAATTATCCTACTCCTGATATTCTGCAGTCGTCTCTTTCTCTCGAAACTTAGTTTTTCGAAGGTTTCACTTCTAACACGTATGATCTGCCCACATGATATTTTTTTTCTTTTTTTTTTTTTTTCTGAAAAGAGAAGGAAACGTCCTTGAGTATACTAAACGAAGATTTGCAGTTTCTTTTATCACGATTTCGATCCAAACGAAACGATACTATCTCGTTCGTAGTACCTATTCGTATAATCAAATGCTTATAGATAGTTATAGATATATGCACAATGTCACATTGATACCATAGGTGCAACTTGTTGCATTTGTCGTCGCTTATGTATCAGATATGTTACAAGAAAAGTTTCAAATCCTTCATTCAATAGAATTCCTAGGGATTGTATATAATATGTCTACATTTTTGGTTTGTATATAATGCCTAAAACTAGTCAGCAATGTATTCATATTTCACACATTTCTAAATGAGAAATTGGCAAAGTATATTTAGATAACTATGACAATAGATTATATCAATAAAAAAAAACATTGTTAAATTTATTTTACATAATTAATTTTGTAATATACAAACTTTTAAAATAAAAAAAAATCAGAAAATATTTAAAAAAATATTCAATAAAATAATCATGAAATAAAATCTTGTAAGTTTAGTTAATTTTTAATTAATTAATTATATGAAGTATGTGTATATATTTTTGATAAAAATAAATAAGTCTACATAGATAAATTGATATTGTAATATTATAAAAGTATACACAATATATTAATGTTTAATCAAAAAAGATAGAAAATTGAATCTTTTATATGAACAAAAAGAAATGTTTCCTTTCTTCTTCTTCTACTTCGTTTTCTTTCTTTATTTATTTTGTTCCTCTTTTAATAACGATAACTCAAGTTACCTGTGACGTATATCTACGAATAAAGCATATATAACGGACAAATATATGATAATTCACGACAACGAGAGGCGAGTCCTAACGACGTTAGGAAATATAGACGTCGGAGGATTTACGATCAAGAGATTTATGATGGAAGAACGTAGTACCAATATATATCATATATGTATATATGATGGGAAACGTGGAACGTGTATTCCACGCAAATACATGTTAAGGGTTGGCATGGGACCGGATACCAAACAATTTTTATACAATAACTTTGTTCAAATAATAAAAATTAACATAAGTTTGAAATTGTTTTTTTTTTTTTTAACAAAATTTCTTAACACACACATTTATATTTTGATATTAATCTATTAAAAATTAATATTCAATGATGATTTTTATAATATTATATTTTGTGATTATATATTTCTAAAAAGACAGAGAGAGAGAGAGAGAGAGAGAGAGAGAGAGAAGGAGAAAGAGATAAATTGGAAGATGTTTAATTAATTAACATAGATTGGAATTTCAACATAATTATTTACCCTATAAACATACAATTTGTACGACAATTAATTGAATTTATATAAAAATGATTTATTAATATATTATATTAATTGTTAATAAGTACAAGTAATAAAGAATACTCGTATATTTTTTATTATATTAATTGTATAATATATCGTATTGTATATTATTTAATTTAATTTACACATTAAAATAAAATAATAATAAATAAAAATTAAATAAAATAAATTGTATTATTTAACAATTTAACAAATATTTTTAAATATTAGTATTTAATATATATATATTAGAGTACAATTAATACATGGGTGTTATAAAAGAATCCATTTATTATTGAATGTTTATGTATATTTCGATTGTTCAAAAATATTGATAAAAATTAATCCTTTTTCTGGATTAAATTTTCTCGATGAAAAAACAAAAAAACAAAAAAAACAAAAATATGAAATGTGAATAGGAAAAAAATTGCAATTTGACGTTGACCTTTAATCGCTTATCTATTGTTGAAATTCGCTGGCCCATAGCCAGAACATTCGTGTTATCGTAATTACCATATATGTCTATCTCTCTACCTCTACCTTTAACTTACCCCCCACCCCACCCTTGTTTCTCCTTCCTTCTCTCTCACTCTCTCTCTCTCTCTCTCTCTTCAATATTGACGCACAACCTTGCAGCGAGTTTGCCGTTATCATACGATCGAATTTCTCGATAATTTACACGCGCATCCAGGTCAATGTTCTCTATCTCGGTATACCGTCTATTTACAGTTGAGTTCGTCAATGTGCACGGATGACATCGTGGTCACGAAGCTACTCTTCCTATGCTGATTAAAATCTAATTATTCTTTCATTTCGAGTAATGAATTAAATTAATTTAATGAGATGTAAATATATATATATATATATATTTTTTTTTCTTTCTCTGAATTAATCGTTTTATATTAGGATTCAATTTATCATTGAAATTATTTAGAATTTTATTAAAAGAAATAAATTTTAAAAAAATTGTTTGATGTATTGTAAATCATTTGATTCGTCAAAATTAACCCAAATAATATTTATTTATTTATTTTAATTTAAGAAAGAAGAATTAAATATATATATATATATATATATATTAAATTCATCGACATTTAAATAAAATTGAAATTAATTGCTTAATTATTTATAAATTGTTCAACATAAATATATATTTTTATATTTGTATGACTTTACAGGATAATATTTCAAATTAAAGTTGTAATAATTGTAGATATTTCATAGACGCAGTCATCAAAATGCTTTTGAAAACCATAATAATTTTTGTAATTGTAAAAAAATATATACCAATTTAAATAAGCACTTTCCGGTGTATGTTTTCATGAACATTTTGATTGAATTTGATTTTTAAAAAGCTTTGACAATACACGTGTGTGTGTGTAAGAAAAGTAAAATAATTAAAAGAAAAGTTAAAAGAAATGAAAATGAATAATAAATAAATATTTCTATATCCAACTATGTGAAGTGTTGACATGGTAACAAATATAACTGTAATTATAACCGTAACTCGAGCTGTAACTTTAATATACAATATATTACATGTAGCATACAGGTGTCATGTAACATTGTAAAATGTAATCGTAACTGTAGCTATGGTTGTGTTGCGAATTTTCGCAAACATTGGAATATTGATGATAAAATACATAGCAAGTACACGTTGGATTTGTGTTGATATTCTTTATACATTTGGTTGGATTTCA